AAAGTATTTCAATTAGCTGCTAAAAGAATACATTGAAGGAGTTACGACTGATGTACATTTGGGCTAAATGCCTATAATCAGAGTTGTTTCTCACCTGAGTCCCTCTTACTGATGTTATGTAACAAGCGGTCCTGATTGCCAGCAATAACTTGCTTAACATGTTCGCATTTGTGTGATAATCATATAAAAGTAAAATGACTCACTAGTACTTCAAGAAAGGAACTGATACTAGGTGTAGGCTACATAAGTTATACAGTGACTTTATCATATCTGAAAGTCTCATTTCTAAATCACTAGGATTTTTCAGACTTGTCCACAGGACTGATTTGAGACCAGCTGAAAGACAAAACGACATTTGTGGGGGAGAAAGGAAGAAATGAGAGAAACATCAATGGAAGGCAGGGAGTTACCCCTTCATGCTCACCCATCCCCATGCTTCCTGGGCAACCAGGGCTTATCACCTGGGTGTAGTCATATGGCCAAAAAGAACTGAAACGAGCTGGAAGGTCAGGGCAGTCATACTAGTAATGAGCTTTGGTGCAGAGATGTATGGGGAGGTAAAGTCCCCCTCATCCACCAGGGGCCTTCTATGTCCTTGTGTGGCTCATGTGATGATTATACCACTCTATAACAATCTTCTAACATTATAATCATGAAATCATCATCAACATTTTTCCTACAAGTTATTTATTCTCTAACACCTTCCTTCAAAACTTCCAATTTCAGTTTGTGGAAGACACCAGAGAATTCTCAAGATGTAATTCGATCCCGCAACCTTTCTGTAAATCACTTTAGTGTGATGTTCTAGAAAATACATGGCACAAATTTTTGTTAACAAAAAGAAGCATTTCTTCAGTAAGGCAGCCAGTTTCTCATTCATTAATCAGATCTTCATTAAAAGCTCTGTGTATGTGTGTGACAGGGTCTTGCTCTATCACCGGTGCAATGGCCCAAGCATGGCTCACTGCAGCCTCCACCTCCTGGGCTCAAACAATCCTTCTGCCTCCACCTTTCAAATAGCCAGAACTACAGGTGTGCACCACCACACCCCACTAAGTTTTTGATTTCCTGTAGATACAGGGTCTCACTTTGCTGCCCAGGCTGATCTCTAATTCCTGGGCTCAAGTGATTCTCCCACCTTAGCTTTCTAAAGTGCTGGGATTACAGGTGTGATCCGCCCTGCCCAGCCTATTTAAAGCTTTAAGAAGAAAAGTTTCACATTGCTCAACCTCATTACTTAAGTGGGTCAACTCAAGATACAGGTAAATTGTGCCTTTCCTACCAGATCATCACAGGAAACCTGAGGTGGCCATTCTCACAGCCTTGCTTATAGGATGCTAAAAGAATGAAATCTACTCCTGAAATTATTCCCATATCTTACATGTGTCCTGTTGATAAGAAATTCCAGGCTAGGTGCTGTGGCTCACGCCTGTAATCCCAACACTTTGGGAGGCCAAGGAGGGCAGATAACCTAAGGTCAGGAGTTCAAGACCAGCCTAGCCAAAATGGCAAAAACCCATCTCTATAAAAAATACAAAAAAAAAAAAAAGTCAGGTGAGGTGGCACATGTCTGTAGGCCCAGCTACTTGGAAGGGCTGAGGCAGGAGAATTGCTTGAATTCAGCAGGCGGAGGTTGTAGTAAGCTGAGATTGTGCCACTGCACTCCAGCCTGGGTGACAAGAGGGAGACTCCATCTCAAACAAAACAAAACAAAAACCCAGAAATTCCATCTCTGAAAATTTTGTAAAGAATAGTATTTTTTCTCCTAGCTCTGCTCAAAATCATCTCCATGAGATAGTAGATTTATGAACATGTAAGAAAAATCCAGTGGACTCTTAAGGTTTCTTCATCCTGTTCGGAGCCTCCCTTCTCCAGTCCCTATAACGTTCTTCATCTCAGATAAATGTAGCCAAGTACTTCCAAACACCTCACAAAATGCAGAGGTTGAGGAGGGGGAATCTCATTTTATCATTTAAGTTTTTAATATAATACATTTGACTATATAATACAGTCACATAGCTCAAGAATTAAAATGACATTGAAAAGTATACATTGAAAAGCTGTATTACATTCCCTTTTCCTATCCACCCCACTAATCCCTGATGCCCCTATAAGTTAGCACTTGCCCTGTTTTTTTCTGGGCTCTTCCAATGTTTTTATGTATATACAAGCATTCATGCCTATTTTTATGTCCTAGATTTCTTATACAAAAAGCAACATATACCATAATGTTCTGCAGCTTGATTGCTCATATGAAATATATCCCAGAGATCACTCCATGTCAGCATGGAGGACTCATAAAATGTCCTTGTTGACAGGAGGTTTCTTAACTCTACTCATAACATACAATGCTGCAGTGAACAACTTATCTGTAAGTCCTCTTGTACTTGCACGGGTATGTCTGTAGGATAAATTTCCAGAATTGAGACTGCTCAGAATTTTTATTAAATAATTCTGTTTTAAGTCTTCTCAGAGTGGCTTGTGTTTGTGAGTGTGTCCCCCTCTCCATGGTATACACTTCTGAAGGCATGAACTATGTTTTATTCATCTTTGCACCTGCAAGGGCTACCATAGTGCCTAGCATGTTAATGCTAAATACAAACCAAACTTCTAATGTATCTGTAACCCTGAGAGCATTCAAGTAACCCCTCAACATAAAGGCTGAGATCTAGGTGTAGATTAAGAGGCACTTCCCAGTTTCTATTTCAAGATGAAAATAGGACTTATAAAAGTATTGAATAAGGAGTCAAAGTTTCAAGGATGAAGCTGTCTCTTCAAATCTGGGGATTGGGTCAATGTCAGGCAAATTTTCTGGGTTAATCACGCAGAGAGAAGCTAAATGGCAAAATGGAGAGGAAGCCTAGAGAACTCCTGCCTGCTGATGAGCAGCCACAGGTGACTGAGAATAGCACTTCCTGAGAAGCCAAGACAAGCTATGGAGAAAAGGTAAATGCACACTTGGATTCAAATCTCAGCAGAGATGGAGAGTGTGCTGGAGAAAGCGAGGGTACACGTGGTGCTAATGTAGCTGCTTCTCCACTCTCATGACAATCTATGAGAATGTACGCCAATGGCAGCTGTATTTCCCTAGCTATTTCTCTCCTCATCCCAGCGCTGCTCCTTCCCAGCCACAGCTGTTATCCGAGCACATAGGCCATAGGAAGATTCTTTCTGCTAGATTATCACTAAGCCTCCTGGCTGCCACTGAATTCTGTTTAGCCAAGTTTGAAGACATGGACTGGAAGGCAGATGTGTCATACACAGAACCCATGTCAGTCCTCGTCAAAGTCCTCACCCCTCAAAAACTGTCAGTGAAAATAAATGGTTACAACTTCTTATGTCAATAATGTGGCAATATAATTAAAAAATTATAAATGTGCTTTCATCTAGCAATTGTAATTCAAGGAATTAATTCTGCAAGTACATGTACAGAAAAATAAAAAAACTGTACATATGTTTGCTGAAGTATTGTTTGTAAAAGCAAAGAAATAAAATAAAAATAACCTAAATATCTCTCAATATGGTAGTGGTTTTATCTATAATAGTATATTATGTAATATCTTTGGCAGCTCTAGAAGAATGAGATAAACCCATGTGTAGGGCATGAAACAACAGCCACATACACTGAGGTAAATAAAAACAAGTTTAAAATAGTAAATATATTGTATGATTTTATTTGTGATTTAAAAGATAATGTGCTTGCATATGAATTTTTTTTAATCGGTAAAAATAGATGAGAGACTATTACGGTCACCACTGGGGAATGGGATTAAAGAGATTGGAGGAAAAGAAAGGCACAACATTTTATTTTTTTAACTTTGTATAATTTTTATATTGCTTTGAGAATTAAAAAGTTCACTTGTAGCCCATATGTTATTTCTAAGGTTCCTGTGGTATATAGATTATGTAGGAGTTTATGTTTTTTTTTTCTGAGACAGGGTGTCACTCTGTCACCAAGGCTGCAGTGCAGTGGCACAATCACAGCTCACTGCAGCTTCAACCTCTGAGGCTCAGGAGATCCTCCCACTTCAGACTCCCAAGTAGCTGCAACTACAGGTGTGCACCACCATGCCCAACTAATTTTTTGTATTTTTTGTAGGGACGGGGTCTTACTATGTTGCCCAAGTTGGCTTTAAACTCCTGGGCTCAAGCAATCTGCCCACCTTGGCCTCCCAAAGTTTTGAGATTACAGGTGTGCATCACTACGCCCAAACCTAGTGATATTTTTTACTTTTTTTTTTTACAAGATGGAGTTTCACTCTTGTCACCCAGGCTGAAGTACAATGGCATAATCTGGGCTCACAGCAACCTCTGCCTCCCAGGTTCAAGCCATTCTCCCGCCTCAGCCTCCTACGTAGCTAGGATTACAAGCACCTGTCACCATGTCCAGCTAATTTTTATATTTTTAGTAGAGACGGGGTTTCACCATGTTGGCCAGGCTGATCTCAAACTCCTGATCTCAGGTGATCTGCCCACCCCAGACTCCCAAAGTGCTGGGATTACAGGGGTGAGTCACTGCCCAGCCCCTACTGATGATTTTTTAATCAGAATAGCTATCAATTTAAAAAAACTTTAAAAGGATTCTTCTTGGCTGAGTAAAACATCTATGGTTGACCTTAGTTGAGGTTCACAGAACCAACTCCAGCTTTGTGGGCATATATTCAAATCCTGACTCACATAGAAGGCCTAGTATAATTTTCTGTGATTATAAAAATCAACGTGTTAAGTCTTCAGACTATGATTAGGTTGTCAACAATTTTAGTAACACCCTTGACCATCCACAAACTTCCATCTGTCACTTACCTGAACACATCTTTTAGGGAATGCTTTTTAGTTCTTATGTTGCCTTTCCTGCAAGATGTCCCATGCAATGGACTTACTAATCATGAAAAAGTTTTTGTCATATTGTATAAGGTCAGAGATAAGTAAAGAAGAAAAGATGATCCCATAATATGCAAGTGTCCTGTTGCTAAAGAAAAGACTGCTCAGGGCAGACTTACACAAAGTGGTAGATTCTGATACTGGGTTTTCAAATCCTGATAATTGGAGCCATTCAGTCAGTCTCTGTGCCTGATCCTGAAGAAAAAGAACCTGAGACGAGAAGCAAGAAGATGAGAAAATGTTAAGGCAAGAAAAAGCATTTGGCAGATGCAATTGGCGGTAGACTCAACACACATTCTTGAGGCAAAGCTTTAATGAGGAAGCTCAAATGTAGCAGAATATTGTTTGGAACATCAATTTCCAGGTCACCTACCTTCTCTAAGACTTTCTGTTGCTAAGATGATGATGTCTGCGGTTACTATAATTTAACAGAATTTTCCAGTATCAAAAAGCTTTAGCAATTTGTCTTTCTGCAATGCAGGAAAAGAAAAGCTGTAGGGTGTACAGTGTGTATTTAATTGCCTTGTTGTATTATTGCTCTTCTTTCTGGAATAGTATTTTGGGTATACAAATATAGAAAAACTTACATTTTCTTGGTATATAGACCTGTGATGACAGATCTATCATATAAGTGAATAGATGGAAATATCAAGCAATTTGATAATTCATCTTGCTGTAATTAACTAGGTTGGGTTTATGGAAGTGATTTAAGCCTAAAATTCACTAACAACCTCATGAAATTTTCTGAACCAATGTATACTTTTGGGTTTAACCTCAAAACCTTTAAGAGCTTCTACTTCACAGCTAAATACTAAAGCACAATAATCATGGGAATAAGGCAAAGGGAGATTAAATGATCAGCAAATGAGGAAGAAACAACAGAAATTAAGAGAAAAATAGAGAAAGCACTGATATAGCAATAATAAGAGCCTTACATGCCTAGTTCACTTACTGTCAGACAATTTATCTTCTACAATAATAAAAAATGACTGTAGCCTTCCAAGAAAAGTTGCTTTTTTAAAATGAATAGGTTCCAAGCATGTTTGGTAATTTAATTTCAAATAAGATATATTGGTATAATTTGGGGTTTTAAGGCACTAGCCCTCAATATTTAGATCTTGGTCTCCAGAAATAAAGTATCTTGACAACTAACATGAAGGCCAATGTGTACTGGCCCCAATTATTGGAATGGTATGGATGAAAGTATATATTTAAACTCAATTATCCAGGTAACTTGCACATAAATATACCAAACCAAAGACCACAGGGTGGAATACTGCTTTAAATTCATTTTAGTACAGATTGTTTTTTCCTTTGAACCACTAATCAACTTTACTATGTGCAGTTTCTACAATGCAAGCCTATTTGCCTCAACATCTTAGCATCATAGTATTCTCTCATCAGAATATTGGTTAGGTTCCCTAGTGTGAATCACTTATCCAGTTGCTTTCCTGATTATTCACATGTTTTTGAGATCTGTGAAATGTAGCAGATAAACAGGTTTATGCTGTGTGCAACTTGGAGGGCAGCCAATGTCTGTCTGCCTATACAGTATGTTTACTCTCCTTCCTCAAATATCTCTCCCATACAGAGAAGCTGTATTTTAAGACTAAAATCAGTGTAGAATGCAATCCAGTAATGTCACTGCAGAAAACAGCAGGTGCTCATCCACTCATTTGCAGTGATTCTTGCAGTGAAGAAAGTGAATCAATGATTCATCTAATGGACAAAGAAACACCACCGTGAACGTTTGGAAAAATCAAATGAGGGAAAGGAACATTCTCTTATAAAGGTGGGCTCTGATTTTGGAAAGCAAAACCTCCCACACAAAAATCAGGAATCTTGTGTTCTGGTTGTAACTGCAGTAAGCAATGGCATGTTCCCTCTCTCCCTACTTCCTCTGTTTTACTGCTTTTGTGTTGCACTTCTAAAATAAATATCAATAAATCATTGCAGTTAGCTACTCTAATATAGACAGAAATGTACTTGACTCCCTACAGTCATTACAATTGGAGGGGACTCTGATTAGGATGCTTTACTTAATTAAGTGATATCGTCTAAAGAGAGTTCTTCCCTCCATTTTCTGTTTAACAGTCTTACAAAACACCAACAGAGGAAATTCATTCTGTTGTTTGCTTTTCTTATTGTAAATGGTTTCTCCTCATTCATATTTTGCAGAAGATGATGTCGTGTTAATGAAATGGCTAATAAGCCAAAGACTGGTTCAGCTACACACAGAATCTTGTTCAAATCAGCCCAGGCTACATAGACTGAAAATGTTTTCTTCCCCATCTCAAAAACGTATTTTTAAATTTATTTTTACAGCATCTCTATTCTAAAATTAAGAAGATTCCAAAGAAAATCTTTTCTGAAAAAAACACATTTTACCTAGTTTACGTATGGTTTAGCAGAGACCTTAAAAACCTGTTTCTTTGAGAGAACAGAAAAAAAAAAGTGCAAAGAATAAGCAATCCTTATGCATTAAATGTTATTTGTGAGGCACTTTGATTTTACTGAAAGAAGTCATTAAATTTGGATTGCCAATACAAATATGATTATATATGTTTTCTAAATAAAATGTTATTAGGTTGTAACTGAACTCATCCATTTATTGTTTGTTTACCTAGTGCTCAAACGCATGTTTTATTCATAGATGTCTGGGAGAAAAAAATTTAGCTCGATAATCACACCAAGCATATTTAACAAAAGCGATTCTCCTTTTATTAGTGAACAGGTTTAAGCAGAATGATTTCATTTTTTTCCCTATTTAGTTAATTCAGACTTGCAGGATCCTTAGCTTACAGCTTTTGTTTCTCCTCCCGCTGCCTTTTATGCCTTTAATGTATGCATGCCTATCCACTGATGGGAAAATATCATTTCCTGAAACTCTTCCTTTTTCCTTCTTGACTATTCTCTCCATTGATTCTAGTTTTGGTTAGTGTTCACTAGTTAGTTCTGTCAAACCACTGTATCTACAAGACAGATACATTAAAGCCAAGCAAATAGTTAATTATCCTGGTGAAAAATGTAAACTCTCTTTCCTTAGAGTGAATCAGAATTCTAATTTGCTCATTCCTTTAAACATAAATAATATATTTATATATTTAAAGCAGTTAAAAGGTGTATAGGATAGAAACTTATAAAGTGAAGATTAATGAATATCTATGAAATTGTTTTTATTGCCAAAACATTTTAACAAAATATTTGCAACTTTAACAAATTAACAATTGCCTTGTATTGAATTTAGCAACTTTATTCCTTTCTATTAAAAAGCAATATTAAATGTAAACACTCTCTTAAATGAACTCAACTAGCTTACAATAGATTGTTTTCACCTTAATACAACATGCGGCTAAAAGCAATTAATAAACTGTAAAATATAAATGCATGTCTCAAGATATAAAAAGGAATATTCATGAATCACAGACAAGGAATTTACAATTAATTGCTAAATTATTAAAAGAACATTTTATAACAGCTAGAAATCTGAATTATTTGAATTATCTAATTGCTTGGTCATTTATCAAACAAAATAATAGTAACAATAACACATAATCGCTAAAGGAGTTAATTAATGTTGTTTGACTCTAAGATTTTGTTTTGTCTTGTTTTAACTGCATATCATCCTGCATAAAAAATGTTTCCTTAAGCTGGAAACATTCCGAAGTTACATAATTTTTCTTAACTCCCAAGTTAAGAAAATCATAGAAGAATAGTAAAACAATGTGCCTTCTAGACATGTTAGCCAAAGTTAATCCGGGAGTTGTTCATAACTGCTTTTATTATTTTTAAAAGATGCTCTTTATTAAAAATTAGCCTTACATTAGTTTTAAAGTTTGTTAAATGTGAGTTTTTTTTTCCCATGGTTTTGTAATCTAGATAATTTTACAACCAAAAGCTTAGTTAGCTCACTGTCTGTTAAGCAAATTTCTTTAAAGATTTTCTTTAAGCTCTTCGTTTTTAAAGGTGCCTTTGTCCTGAAACTAAACATATGACACTTCTGTCCCCTAAGAAAATTTTTGAGAAATTGAATAACAACAAGTAAATCTGATAGAGAAGTTTTATTCCATTCCCGCTGTTTACTTCTTTTAAAACAATTGTTTAAAGTTAAAGAATGTGTCTTTTTTCTTAAGTCTTTAAGCAGAATGAGAACTGTGTCTAATAAAGCACTACTGAAGTTAGACTAGCCGCTGAATTATTATCTGGTGGAAGAATGTGAGTTCTATTTCGCCTCAACCAATTATTTTTATCAAATGTCTTTTCTACCTAAATTGTTTGCTTAAGATGTTACAGATCAGCAGAGTTATTGTAATATGCATTTTAGGCCATTCTTATTTAAATTCCTGTAAATCGAACTAGATGTAACAGAGCCAATTTCGGGTCATTTGTTGAAACTGCTTTTCTTTGGAGCAGTTAACATTTGGAACTAATGCTTCAATCCTAACAGGCAAATATATATCAAATGTTTAAAATATAAACACAAATATTATTGCCTATATATTGTTGAAACTGCTTTTCTTTGGAGCAGTTAACATTTGGAACTAATGCTTCAATCCTAACAGGCAAATATATATCAAATGTTTAAAATATAAACACAAATATTATTGCCTTTAATAAGCTCTTTAGTAAGAAAAAGATTTACATCCTAAGATGGGCTTTTTTCTGTGCTTGTAAGATAAGTGCTCTAAATAAAGTATTTGTCATCAAAGCTGTCTCTGTAAATTAGTAGAAAGAGTAAAGTTTCTAAAGAGAACCTAGCTAGGAGACATCTCTTGCAATGGAAGTAGATCAAATCTGTTCAAAGAAAAGGACAAAGAAAAAAGTTTATTGCTAGCATGAAGACAGTTTCTTGAAACTTTTTTTTTTCTACAGAAACCTGAGTGTTCAAGAAAGACAATATGTAACAATAGGCTTTTGGAGGTTGGGAGGAGAAAAACATCTTGCATAATGTAAAGGGAGAAAAAACATACAGACCAAAACAAAATAAATAAATATATTTTCTTTTGGCAAGAGATGACTGCAGAGTTCAAAGAGTAAATTATTTCCATCAGCGAGTTGTACCTTGTAAATTTAGGAGAATGGATCGTCAACTCATTTGGAAGACAATTCTCTTTTTAATAGCAACAGATTCACAGCTAATTTTATCTCTAAAAAGGATACCTACTAGACATCATAAATTAGCTTTTAAGAGGAAGCAAAACTTGACAAACTACTGTCAAGTTGTATATATTTCTGATTCAAGTTAAACATACTTTTAGCAAACTGTCTTATGAATCTGTTTTAAAGCACTTCAGTGGCCCAGAGGGAGCTCTACCTTTAATATAGACAAGGTAACAAAGACTGTCAAAAAATAAAAATAAAAAAAGATGCAGAGAAGAAAACAAAAAGGAAACAAATGTCTGTAAGGAACAAATTATGAGCTTAACAAAAATATGACAAAAGCAATATCATATTTTTTCCTAATAGAACAATTCCTGTGTATAATAAATGAAACTAAAGCAAAAGTTTTCTGGGTTGAACTAGGCATTGAATGAATTGTAGGAACAGAATAGTGTTAAATATTGCATATTCATTTAAAACATTTATGATGTAGATGTTAATGTAGTTAATTTAGTTCAGTGTTCTGTTAATATGAAAACAGCTATAATGTTTTCATTATTTATATTGTACTAATTAATCATTCATAATATAATGGTTTACACAAGAAAAGCTCAGTTATCTTTCACAAGTACAACAGCCATATGTAAAGCATATAATAATTCAAATTCATGCCTTAAATATTCTTACAAGTAAGTATTTTCTCAGGTTCAAATACAAATGAAATTAAAGCAAAACAAATTAACTAAGATTATCCCCCTTAAAATGCATATAGAACAACCTTTGGGGATTTTCAAGATCTTATTTTCATAACAGTAACTTGAAAATTTATTGAAAAACACAGTTAAAAAGCATCATATATTTTTGATGAGTCAAATATTTATATCCAATCCTTTTTGCATCAAGACTGTGGGAAATGTGTATTATGAAGATCAGATGGTGCACTGATGTGAGAAACGTTGCAAAGCATCCTGTTGATTGGTTCTAATTAACTGCAATGCTCTTGTGTTCTCAGTTTTAGCCGGCATACACCACACAATGCCTTTTATTTTGCTTTGAATGGATTTTTACTTAAAAACAGCTGATCTCAGTATCCACAGTATTTTGGGAATTTTTATTTTTTTGAATTTCCCTGCGATGTTTTCTTTTCAACTTTAAAAGACTAATTTGAAAATATTTCTAAATAATAAAGGATAATCAGTTAAATTACCAGCACTCATATGGTCTTCCACATGTATTTTGCATGTTCTGTAGTGTGTGACTATATTCTCAAACTACATTTCAATTCCTCTTTGAAAGTTAAATATCTGAGCAATGGTTTAAAAAGAAAATTCTGAAAAGCAATTTAGAACACACTGCTAATTTTTTATTTTTGTAATCAGGCTGCTAAGTAGAACAGAGCTAAAACCTGGGACCATGAGCAAGGAATGAGAAGGATTCCAGAATAAAAGTATTAAACAAAATTCTTTGCGCTCACCTTTCTCTGATGATTTAAACTCAAGCAGCTCTAACGGAGAGATGTCATGAATTTTCATAAACTTCAACGTGTCATAAATTTAAAAACATTTTTATTTGCTCTGGGACCCCTATATGTCTCTGAAGCTTAGTAATAGTGCTGGGATGTTCTCTAGGTACAAACTCTATAAACTCCCAGGGCTCTAGAAGATATTTTGCTAATGTAAACAGACCCTTAAGTTGAAAAAAAAAATTAAAGAACAGAAAGTTTCCAAAGAAATGAAGAATTTAAAATAAGGAGGCTATTTTTAGAAGCAGCACACTTCCTATGATTTTAAGGGTCACAATTGTATCCACACACTAGCTTTTTGAGAACATGCAGTTATTTGTCCTGAGATAGAATCATTTTGGACAGGAAAAATCTATAGTCTATAAATTAGAGCTAAATTATTCATTAGCCTAGTAGACCTTAAAAGTGATTAAATAGTCATCTTTTTGTTCATGTAAGGATAAAATGTGACTCATGAGCAGTGTTTCAAAATGGCTACCAACATCCTTATTCTTTCCAGGAGAAAGGCTAACTGAATAAAGTGGAGTACAGCCAACCCGGAGTTTTACCCCACGTAACACCTCTAAAGGTTATCTTCCAAGTATTTCTGTCCCTCTTAAAATTGTAAAAAAAACAAAAAAAAATCATTAAGATAGGGTGAGAAATAAACATTAGGAGAGATTAATAAGTGCAAAACTGCAAATTATAGAATGATATAAATAAAGTGCCATGATAAATAATTTACACTGTGCCCTCATTTTACAAGTGAGGAAATGGAGGCTTAAAGAGCTAAAGTGACTTTCCCAAGGTGGTACAAAGACAATGGTGTGAAGTTAAACTACAGGGAAGTCTCTTGAATCGTGGTAACACCCTTTCTACAATACTACACGGTCGTTCTTTTATTCACTACAGTAACAAAAATATCCTCAAATGGGTGTCAGTTATATAATTAAGTGAAACAAAGTATGGATGTAAAAAGTATGTGCAGGTCTTACCAAATTAATTGGCCATCTTTACCCAGTGTGAAGTCTTTTTCTTTAAAATGATGTTTCTTTGAAGAATATCCTTATGCCTTCATTCTTGCCAGACTTTGAGGATTTATATCTATTTAATGAAAGTTGGTTCTCTTTAGCACGCTTACATCGAGGAGGCAGGTGAAAACAATCACCATATAGTCTCACTGTCACTAGTATGCCCCCATTTCCATTCCATTCTTCACTCTGCTGACTGCCTGGCCTTTCTAAAATGCACATCTGATTATGTTTGAGTTTTCTCAATGGCTTCCCATCTGCTACATAAGATAAAATCTACACTTCTTAGGCTGGCATTCAAGGATCTTCAAAATGTTTAGCCTGCACCACCTCTTCAGCTTCACTTCTAACACTCTCCTCACATTTTATGTTCTGGCAATGCAAACTAGGCATGATTCCCTGAACATGATATGCCTTCTCATTGCCCCTGGGCCTTTGTGCATGCTGTTCTTTCCACCTGCAATGCCTGATAAAACCCTACTCCTTCCTGAAGAGTGAGCTCAAGCACCACCTTTTCTCCTTCTGCCAAACATAAATACTACTGGGATTCCACGGCATCTTGCACAGACCTCACATTGCTCCACCCATTGCACTGAACTGTGTCTACTTACATGCCTATTTCTCCATACACATTATCTTTGAGGTTAAAGACATATCTTTCCCTCCACATCTAGTACTTTGCCTGGTATAAGCACTGTTTACTGAATGAATAAATGAATCAATATAAAAAGACCACAAATTTTGTTTTCTTATCACAAAATATTTAGGCCTTTGGGTGACATCTCCGAGTTCTTTTTTTATAATGTCTTAAGTGGGTGCATGTTGACAAAAGAATATTTTTACCAACCTCTTTTTAAGGTTTCTATTATATTAACCATTGCCTACAGTACAGTTTTTAAATCACTCTTACTTTATAGCGAATTGACTTGACTTTGGCATCAAGTTGGTGGTGAAATATAAGTTGCTATCTTCACGTGAATGAAGAGGAGAATTCTCAGGTAAATAGTGGACCACCATTGTTCTAGATATTGGTAAAGAGAATTGCCTTTTATGGCTCAATTTCTTACTAGTAACACAAGTTAAAGGACAACATGCAATCCATTAAGACTGCAAATGCATATTTGGATATAAATATGAAGTGGTGTCAGAATTTTCATGCTAAGTGAGTGCTTTAAAAGAGAATTTTTTTAATAGAGGTGGGGTCCCAGGCTGGGGTGCATTGGCTATTCACAGGCGTAATCACAGTGCACTGTAGACTTGAATTCCTAGATCAAGCAATCCTCCTGCCTTGCCTCAGCCTCCCAAGTGGCTGGGACTACAAGGGTATTTCACCATGATTGGCTGACAAGTTTTCGTTTTAAACAAATGGAATCTAGATTTCAGATTTCTCTTATTTGAGGTTCAATTTTTGTTTGACTCTGTCCAATCTTCTTCCGCATCTTGCTAAACAGATACTGCCAATGATACAAATGTCTTCTAAAGGAGCCTGCTCAACTGAAGCCAGCAATGCCCTTGACACAAAAACACACACTTTCTGCTTGAAATGATACCCTCATACTGATAAAAGAATTCACATTTAAAATTAAAAAGAATTTGCCAGCATATTCTTCCCTTAGCATGTAGGTAATCTTGAGCCAGGCCCCCAAGTCAATAAAGAGATGCTTCAGTTGTTTAGGTTAATACAAGGCACAGGGCATCTCAGTCCTGAAGCCACTTCCAATCTTATGATTCACCACCCCTCTGAAACTCCACACCATTGGCTCCATCGTGCCCCAAGGTTATAGCCCCAACTCACATGTTCACCACGGGACAGCAGTTAGGAGCACAGTAATAGCAGACATTGCTCTTGTGTAATGGGTTTCCCTTGGTCATCAGATCACCTTCCGCAGAGCAGCCCTATACACCATTATCATTAACAATCAACACTAGTTTTTAAATTCTTTTCTGGTAGATGAAAAGAATTTGCCAATTCCCACTTCTCCCTACAGAATGATGGGATTTGTGATTCCCTCATCTCTTCGGAAGACAGTTACCCTTTCAAATCTTAAAGATCTTCAATGGTGAGTGTGTTACAGAAATTTTAATTCTGGAATGTAGAAAGAGGTAAACTCTTAAGGATTTTCCAAGTTATTAATTGCTAGAATTCATTTTGTGTTGTAGCTGGGATTTTATGTTTGTTTTAAACAGTATAACATCATCTCACATAGTCTTAATTTATGTAGCCAAGGAAATATAAAAGACTCTTCTTACTAACTAACAAAGAATTGGCCCTCTTTTCTGTCATTTTGAATCAAACTGACCTAGAATTTTAATAATTTTTTGTTTACATAAAAACAAGAAAAATGCTAATAATACTCTGTTATCTTTACATTTTGCATATCAGAAAGGATTACAACAAGAGAAGTAGAGAAAAATGTTTTCCAAATTAATTGATTCAGAAAATATTTACTGAGCAAATATTATGTGCCAGGAACTATAACAAGGTACTAACAGCAGATTTTCAGCAGATAAAGAGATAAAGAATATGGTTATTTACAACTCTAAATTTAAGAATGTAAAATGTGACCACCTATCAAATCACATAGTCTTGGAATTTCCTTCTGTCTACTTGCTCTCTGCTCTCCTAAAAAAGAAAAACTTTATTCTTATTCATTAGCATAAATTTCAACTTTATAACTTCATAAGCAAGAAAAAGTATATCTATGTCTCCAGTTTGGGTGAGGCCATTTGAAGTTCTTTATAAATGTATAAAAAGACATGGGCTTTGGTTTTCTTATGGGTCTGAAATGAATCTATTACATTAAAATGACTTTTAGTAGTAAGAACAAGAATTTGTATTATAAGCTAATAAAATGGGGGTTTAGGCATATTTGTACAATAAGGTCTTTTTAACTTCACTTGTATAGACATTCCCTCTCATTCCTGCTTAAATGAACTTGAAGATCATTCACCATTCAGTATTGTTTAAATTACAAGGCACAAATGTGTCATCTGATTTTTAAATATTTTTCTTCCTTGGTAATGTAGATGACTAATGTCTATCTCCATTCTTCAACGAATATGATAATGTGATAACATAATTTGGGGAAAAATTAGTTTTTTAATATCTCACATCTAAAGATCTCTTGGCATATTAGAAAATATAATATTCTTCCAAAAATACATTTTTCTAGCCTTCCTGACCACTCATACTTCAGTATATTGTGCCTTTCTTTTCTGTTCAAAAAGTGCCACAAGGCTTCTCACACAAGCCAATCCCTTTCATTGATGAAACCAGCCAACTTTCCATAGTACCTACTAATAAATGTTATGGCTTCACCTTTAGTGATTGTAGTTCATTTTAGATCCCCAAACCACTTCCAGTGTAAGAGTATGAGAAAAGAGCTATCTACCAACAAAGGGAACCCAGGATGTCTCAGCCTTACCATTCTTTTATGTGACATTCCCAGATTTTACATCCTCAAGAACACAATGCTAATATTTGAGAGAGATGTGTTTTGCTTTTACAATGCCCCTGTATGCGAGATACCTGCTTGTTTTAATTTGAGGAAGAAAAAAAAAAAAAAACTATGTTTATATAATTTCAATTTCACATTATTCTGAAAGTTGAGTACCTAAATCTTATCCATGTAGTAATAATTCTCTATTACAGTAAGTGTTAAAAGCCAGAAGCTTGCTCTGCTGGAAAAAAGTGATAGTCCTCCAAATTTCATTAAAAGCTCTTGATTTTTCCCCTTATTACTATCTGATAAGGAAAACTCTTCCTGATATTTGCTCCCTACTAGTAATGAGAATCCTACTTCTGTTTGTGACAGTTTTCAAAACTAGAACTATCAAGTAATGCACTTAAACTTACTTTCCAAGGAAACTGCATGAGAGTTCCTATGCCTAAGTCACCTCTTATCATTCCCTTCCTTGCCCTTCCCAGAGTGAACTCCCCCAGTGATTAATTCCACCTATGAGATAGCCGACTTAGAAATGGGGCTGACTGGTGGACCTGCCCACTGCCACTAAAGTTTTTCTGATACCTTTTAGATGCTCCCACAGGATTACATGCGTGATTCACTCCACTCCTGGTCTTCTGGCAGCTAAATGGGAATATTGGAGAGCTGCCAGAAGGGTAGGTAGCCAACCTGCTTGCCCTTAATTGTGCCTGCCAGCTTTTTAATAGCAGAAGTAGGGTCAAGTAAGTGAAATCACGAACTGAGGAGAGTATTCTGAGAATGCAAAGGCAGTTAATGTCCTTCCAAGCCTCAGATGGCTGGCAACCCTTGGCAGAGTAATCTATGATTTGTGGCACCTGACCCTTCCACTGCGACTGTTATCTGTGTATTCACTAGAAACATATTTACAGAATCTCTCCATTAGCAAAGATGCCTTGTGTGTGATTACCCAATTGTCATGGTCACACTAGGGTTTTGATAGAGTTCCTATTCACAAATGAAAAACTGAACTAAACTGCACACAGGATTGGTTTGAAGCAGGAATCCTCAATCAATAGACCAAGACTTCTGGTGGATCTCAAAGAGATGATTACACCATGGCCTTGCTCCCCTTCCCTCTAAAACTGCATTCCCACCTCCCCACCATCCAATCTCAAAACAGAAGCTCTCTTCATTTGTTCCCTTGAATTCTTAAAGATTCTTAACAAAGTTAAGAGTAACAAGCTATAAGAATGATCTCAAGAGGTGCGTCTGTTTTTAAGCAACCCGCACCTCAAAAAATATAAGAAAAGAGGGCTCCCTGCTTAAACAAGTTACCATAGCTCTGCATTTACACAGTACTTCGTCTCAGCAAAGTACTTTCTTCTCAATTTTTTTTTAGTCAGGAATACCGATAGAGATAGTTGTAAGCTGACTTTCTCTTGATTCTTACACAATTAAGTACAGAAAAATTTTTAAAATATCTTCTTTGAATCAAGTGACCATGAGAGCAACTGTTACTTAAAAGTTTATCGCGTAGTTTAAAAAGTGGTGTCTCCCTCTTCCCCCTTCAAAAACAAATGGCATTGAAGTCCTCCATTTCTCGTTTACATCCTGCAGTTGGCTTGCTCATGAATATTAACTGAGAAAG